ATGCAGGCATCGAGGGGCCACCAGCAGGGGCTCCGGGATAATTTGGCATTGGCTGGCTTGGGGCAGGGCCCCCTGGATACCCTTGCGGAGCCCCTCCGGGCTGCAAAAAAAAAAGTATAAGGGCTATGAGGACTTAAGGTCAGATAAAATAATCTTAGAAAACAGATGAAGGTTAGTTAGCCTTTATCTGTTCATTTTATGTAAGACATTCCACTTCAGAGATGCAGAAATAAGGATTCAATTACCGCGCCATAGCCACCTGGTGCTGCACCCCAGCCTCCCCCTGCAAAGTAAATAACAGTCAATATGTAACCAAGCTCTGCTTTTAAACAAATTGTACATTTTTCTGGTGGCCTCACCTGCTGGAGGCATGGAGGGATAACCTCCCTGACCTGGTTGTGCAGGGTAGCCACCAGCCTGAGGAAAGCCTCCGGCTGGAGCAGGGTACCCTCCAGCTTGGGGATATCCCCCTGCTGCTGGCGGGTATCCAGCCTGAGGAGGGTATCCGCCGCCCTGTGGGGGGTAGCTTCCTCCTCCTGGAGGATAGGCACCTGGTGCTGGGGGATAGCCGCCCCCTGCCGGTGGGTATGCGCCCGGTTGGGGTGGATATGCCCCTGGCTGAGGCGGATAGCCCCCTCCCTGTGGTGGGTATCCGCCGGATTGTGGTGGGTATCCTGGGTAACTCATCTTCAGAATCTGGAAGTATAATGTACACTTAAGGAACATTGTCTAACCCAGTATAATTCCCAAGGTCCTGATGTGAAATTTCTTAACAACCCTTAGTTTTAAATTAGAAAAATATTATCACTTTTCATCACATGTTGATGTGGTCCTAATATCCCAGGTGTAAAAATGGCATGTAACATTATTTCCTTTCCCCTTCTGGTAAATATTTTATCTTTAGTTAAACATTCACATGCAAATGCATCCATTGCAAGACCTGTTCGAATTGCACAATCATTGACGTGGCTTTATAACTTCCCATTACTGCAAACAGGACCTCTAATAAAGCTAGGTGATAAGCTATTAGGTAGACGGTCATATACAAGTCGATTTGCTGTTGTGCGATGTTTTGCAAGATGATTACAACTTGCAATAATGTTTTATAATCCAATCCTGCTTTTGACTTCTTCAAAACTTTAACCTTGAATTTTCTGGTGTGTTCCTTCATCTTCATGATCCTGTTTGTTCAGTAATATGCACTAACAAACCCATGAAGCCTTCACTAAGCAGCTGCATTTACACTAAGATTAAATTACAAACAGGTGACGGCTATCTAATGAGATGACTTGACAGGTTGCACTGAATTTTATTTTGGGGTATCAGAGTGAGAGGATGAATACTAATACAAGAAACAACATTTTTATATAATTTAAAAATAAACACATAACATTTTTCCTCTACTTCAAAAGTGTGCAAAACAGTGGATTTTATTGGAATGTCACATCATAGACCGGTCATGTGAAATTCCCTCCCAAAAAAAAATCCGAAGTCGTTTACTTGAAATAAAATGAACAAAAGTTAAGTTACATTATACAAAGTAACTTAAATTGTGGTCAAACAATTTTTAGTTTCTGCCATTAAATAAAAGAAAATATTTAAAACCAAAATTCCCTTATTCTAAACCTAAAAAACTAAGCTCCTTTGTAAAGATGAGAGTTCCTAGAATAAGTTGAACACACCCAGCTGCTTTCCAGTATTCTTATGTTCGACTCGAAACACCCGTGAAGCTTTCACGTGCTGTCGTAATTATCAAATCTTTTTTCCAGGCGGGATTTACAACCATCATCAAAGTTTGCCAAGAAGATGCGAGAAGAAATATATAACAATGTTTTTGTATTGTTTTTTTAAGATATGCTTTGTGTATCCAGGATAAAAACTTTAAGGATGACTTAAGTTAGACTTAGACATGCATTTTACTTTTGTGAAGGACAATAATACGAAGCTCACCCAAACACAGCAACATTTCTAACTTGAAAGCATCACAGGCCTGACTTCCCAATACCGGAGCTAGCTAAAATTGCGAGATTTTTACAGCAAAATCGCATTAATACCCAAGTACTCGCATAAGCGTATATAACGACGATAATAAAGCGACATTTTGCTCAAACTTTGTTCCTTTAAATGTTAAAGCACTCGGGGGAAATTGTACACAATTGCCACCATTTTTAAGAAAACTATCATCTTTGTGCCTTTAGCAACCAACCTTAATGATACAGAGAAACGCGTAATAGGAGGTTTGATAGCTATAGTGTAAAAACAAAAACAACGGTGCGACCGTTTTCATCGGAAAAAAAAATCGGAAAAAAACAAACAAGCTTTTGCTGCAGCTTCTGCGCAGAATCAGTTCCATTTGGTCAAGGCTAATCTACTACATTCCAGTCTCGAAAACAAAACAGTCTCAAAACTGTTGAATCTGCTTTTTCTGGAAAAACTACAATACAAATACAAATACATTCTTCGATTTAGGCTGTAGAACTACAGAAACACTTACTCACAGATTACTGGTTTGCGCCGTCAGATCCAGGAAGAGAAACGCGAGGGAGCGGTGACTCTAGAGGAGTTAACGGAGGTGGGTGGGTCCCTCTGCAGGCTCCGTTTCCGTCCCCTTTTTAAACAACCTTTGCTCCCAATGATAGAGGACGGAGGCTGCTGGTGACTCAGAGAGCTGTGGCTGCAACCACATTCTCCGCAATAAACAAGACATCAACTGTCATGTTTTCCATTCCCACCTAATATGATTGCAGTGACGCTAAAATAAAGTCCCGGGATAGGTTTCCATTGCTATATAACGGGTATTTTTTTCCTCCCTAAAATGTAATAAAATGACGAAATACAGCCTGTCTGGAGGATTGTGGAGCCTGGAGTGGTTTGAACTTAATATTATATTTGTATATCTCGAAATAGATTAAAGAAAAATCTATATTAAGCAAAATTTGAATTGAATTAGATTCCCTAGCCACTTGACCTGCAGCTGTTAAATTTCTTGTAAACACAAAATAGGATCAGCCAGCCAGGATCTGGAGGAGGTGAAAAGGACACCTGAACTTCAAACCAATCATCAGAATAGGAGGAGAAACAAAAATTTATTTGAATTTTGAGTATTGTTGTTGGTGCCAGACAGGCTGGTAGTATTTCAGAAACTGCTGATCTCCTGGAATGCAAAAATGCATTGTTGATGTCAGAGGTCGGTATAGAATGGGCTTACTGATTCAGGATGACAGAAACATGACAGTTGCTCAGTTTAAAAAAAAAAACACACTCGTTGCATTCAAGGTATGCAGAATAGCATATCTGAATAAATGACATGTCAAACCATGAAGTAGATGGACTACAGTGGACAGCGCTGGGTACCATTCTTGTCAGGTCAGAACCAGAAACAGAGGTTACAGTGCACACAGGTTCACTAAAACTGAACAACAACAGATTGGAAAAGTAACTCTTGATTTTAGCTGCAACTTTCACACTGTAGGGTTAGAATTTGGCGTAAACAACATCCTGTTAATGAGATGCATTGGTTAGCAGCATCTGGCTGCTACTTTTCTTCCTGAGTGTGATGAAGGTAACTACTTAATTTTTCTCTCCAGTTCACCAATCACATTTACTTTATTTTACCCATTAAGTGTCTGATTAGAAATACAAATATTGTTTATTACAGTACATTTTTTTTTTTACTATTTGGAGCAAAATGTTCAGTTTGTGCACAGGAAGTGCTTTGGCTTGCCACATCACACTCAGCTGTCCGCTTTTGCTTTCACACTTGCTCTGACATTCGTGTTAAACTCAAACTGTGGAAACCTCTTTGTGGGGAGATTTCACCACATAGCTCATCGCTAAAGAGAAGAATAATTAAAAAAAAAAACTCAAGTTGTTAACTGTAACAGACAGTTTCCTGAAAGAGTAGGAAGGTAAATGAAATCTAAGTAGTTGGTTAACAGATTGCTAAGTTTCTACATTCCAAAAAGGGCAAGTTATCATTTTTCTAACACAAAAGTTTTTTGTTGTTGTTGTTTTTTTTTTGTTGTTTTTTGGGGACATGTTATCTAATTATGGAGATAACTCACATGAACTGCAAAAATATTTTTTTGGTTGTTTTTGTTTAACATTTTGAAGTTGAAGTTCAGGATTATTATTATTGTGTTTTAAGGTGTTATTAAGGTGTCCTCACAGGCTAAGTTGGATGAGTTCCTCCTGTGTCTCCTGTGATGAGAAGCTGTTCAACATTAAGAAAGAACTCAAGAACTCATTTTGTTTGACTTCTTTGTTTAAATTCAAAGGTAGGTACTGCTCCCATTACTGAATGGGTTACTGAAAAGCATCAGTTATGTAGATTGTATAACGCCATGCAATGTTATGTGACCGGCCAGCACAAAAAGCATGCATTTATCCCCATTTGACCTTATTAGTTGCATCCAACTGCCATCAGATGTGCCTTAATCAGCAAGTAAAGTCCACCTATATATTTTCATCATATAATCATATAAATACAACTATTCTATGAATGCTTTGGAGATTTGTTAGACAATGATCAAACAGCATCAATAAGATCACTGTCAGGACAGGACAACTATTTCTTGTGAAATTTACAAATTGGGTCTTAAAAGTGTCAAGAAGGAAGGCACTGTTGAAAAAAAAAACCTCAACACATTGGGTTTATAGTTCATCAAACAATGAGGGAACACAGAAAATTTGGGAAAGAAGAGACTCTGATCATGTAAGACCTAAATCAAAGTTTTTAGCCTAAATGCAAAATGCTACATGTAGTGGAAAACGAACACTGCCACTCTGAACACAACATCTTCATGGTGAAACATGGCAGTGGCTTGATAGTGCTGTGGGGATGCTTATGGGAAGATGAATAAAGCTAAATACAGGACAACCCTGGAAGATAACCTGTTAGAGGCTGCAAAGTGTGTGTGTGTGTGTGTGAAGAGACACACATTATTAATATCATTAATATTATTTCACAGAGTGTGAGGTAACACATTCACAGAATGTGAATTAATGACTTATTTCACTTTCTGTGGCCTGTGTTGATACAGTATAACGTCTGAACACTAGATGGCAGCAGTGCGCTAATGATAGGCTATTTGCAGAGTCCTGTGTTGTATTCTGATTTACTTTTTAATTATTATTCACCAGCTTTGTCAGTAAAAAAAAGTTATCCTCAGCAAACACATGGTGGGACATTATTAATTTAACTTTGTATGAGTAATATATAACATTTGCTCCGCATTTAAAATTAAAATATGCTTTGACACGTAATTTAACTGTAAAATCTCTAGTTTCTGATTGTCACTAGCGTCTACAGAGGTGTGGCAAGGAAACTGTGAACACACACGAGGGATCTCCTAGAGTTGCTGTGGCGCCACCCTGAAACCTGGCATTCAGGCTATGGTTCCTCCAGCCTGACACAGTGCATCCCGTTTTGGGGGGGGGATCCTCTCATGGCTCCATACAAGTGAACACAAGAGGGATTTCACATGCAGTAATCCGGACCACAGGGATGACTGAGCGAATCCCGGCGGTTCTGTTTCAGTAAGAGACGCAGTCACGCAGCTGTCCTCCTCCAGGGACGACATGATGTCTGCAATAGAGGCCGGCTTGTACCAACCCGCTCAGCTGCTCAGCTGGGTGTACATGTCCTTGCAGGACGCCCCGGGCAGCGCCTTCGACGGCGTTAAGGTCGAGTCGGACTCCTCCACTCGGGACGGGACGGAGCGCATCGCGGCTGATCTGAGCTCCAACTATCTCAGCAACTTCTTCCATCTGAACACTGAGGTACATCATGAAGCGACCACAATGATTCACACTTTGAATGGATGTTTTACGATGTGCATAAAACTTTTTTTTTCCTTTTTTTTTAGCCATACAAAAAAAAAAAAAAGAAAGAAAGAAAGAAATCTGTTTCCCGTACAGTAAATCTCACCTGCTGCACGCCTTTCTTGGGTCGCAATGTATAGTGGGAAATATTTGAACATGCGTTTTGTGCCCAAATGTTTACAGACTTCTGGTGTCAATGTGTGCAAGGTTTTTGGACCTCACCCTTGGTCTGACGAATTTGCACTGAAGAAGACAAACATAGAAAGGGAAATTGAGGCATTTAAGGTTAGAATTATTATGATTTTACTTTTTGTCACACTTGAACACATTTTAATATCTGTCAAAAAAAATATACCAAGAGTAAAACGAAAAGCATTTTTTAAATTATGTTTTCATTTATGAAGTGAATAAAACCAAGTTGGCGTTTTGTGAAAAAGGAATTGCCCACCTTAGGTGGAGAGAAAAAAAAATCAGAACCAGTCAACCAGCATGAAGTAGGCTAAATGATCTCAAAAAGCACCAAGTCATGACCTTATCAGTCTGGAAAGGGACAGAAATGCCTTTTTAAAGGTCCCAGAACTCCATCATCCACAAATAGAGCTTTAGAGGACTTAGATTATACTGAATTTTGAAGAAAGACAAAGAACAGTTGGTCAATATTTAAGTGTGTCTAAAAATCAAAGAGAATAAATCTGTAACAGGGCAAATACACCACTGTAAATTTGACAGCTAACATAAACCGAGTACAGTAATAAAATACAGGACAACAGAATGACTGCACATTTCAATGTCCATAATGCCTTCAGATTAAACAGACAGCATCTGCAGGCTTGTCTTCATGTTTTTCCCCATGGTGCCATAGCACCCGTCTCCTCCACAGGCACAAAGATGCTGTTTATGTCCTGCCACTAGGACCAGTTGGAGTAATGCGTGACAAAGGCATTTTGTTCTTACGAGGAAATGGACACTATTGGGTCACACAGTGAACACAGCAGAGAGTACACATCTGCAGAAATTCAAAAACTGCTGGGTTTCAGCGTTGCAGGGAAAAACAGGGTAATCAATCTGGGTGACGGATGGGACAATGCATGCAAAATGCTCTTCTGCTGCAGAGTCACAACAATGGGTTTTTGTAATTTGGGATACAGGCAGTTCTTCTGTGCAGAGCTGAGCTAAATAGCGCTCTAAGGCGGTGCTTCTCAATCTTCTCCAGTGAATACCAAATTTTACAAGGACCATCATCATAAAACAGCAGTACATTTCTGTTATGAAATCATCCCCACTGCAACGCTCGGTGGTGGCAGCGTCATGATGTGGTGGGCACCACTTCATGTTGTTTAAATCTCTTAACTAACATGATGACACTGCTGTTAATTATGCATTGCCAATGTATTCAGAAGTATTTCTAAGTTTCAAGTGGCATAAATAGACATAAAAAAAATCATAAACCTCATCCAGAAGTGGTGAAACGGTGACTAGTGCAATGTAATTTCATTTTGTGTTCAAATTTTATTCAGAACCTAACATTTCCACATTTTAATTTGGAAAACTCAACAGAAAGGTCCCCTGAAGTCACAAATTCCAGTTTAAAAGTTGGAGAGCATAACCAGTGTTGCTTCCCCCCCCTCCCCTCCCCTGCCCGTCTTCTTTTTCCTTAAAGGCTTTGACTAAAAGTTTCTACAAAGGCTCCTCTCCATACGGGTCCTTCAGCAACATCGTTGACGGTCTGAACTCTCTGGCGGACCACTTCTCAGATATCTCCCTGTCCCCCGAGACGCACAAACCCAGCAAAAGGCCGCCGCCCAACTACTTGTGCCACCTATGCTTCAACAAAGGACACTACATCAAAGACTGCCCTCAGGTGAGGCGTGTGTGTGATGCTGCACATCAGGCAGGAGCAGATCCGCGAACAACCTAATGTGAAACAGCTTGTGCAGTTGTGTGGGCTGTTTGTCGAATACTTTAGAGCTCTTTGTAGAACATATGAAGTGATGTAACGTTAGAAAAATAGATCAAAAGGATTTGACTATGTCCATGAAAGAGTCCAAGATTAAATCCTCCTGCTGTCTTGCACATGCAGGCCTTCGCCCCAGCTTTTATTCTTCTGAATTTTAACTCTGATGTAAGAATATAATTTGTGCATTATTCTTTTCAGCGCAAAAATAGTTTCTTCAGCACATATTTGAGTTAGATAGACCAGGGCAGGCTGGTAATGAGCAGCAGATGCCAGATTGGATGTGGGAGGCAGCCTTAATGAAAGATGATAGGTTCCTCCGTAGAACTAGGCAAGACCTCCACTCTAAACATGAAAGTAATGTTACCACAGCTTTATGTGCAGCTGTGGTTCCTCATTGATCACGGTCTCAGGGAAGTCCCTGACATTTGTAAGGTGTAATGGAAACAATTAGACGGTGAATATGATTTTTGCGTACCCGTGGAGTCTTAACTTAAACAGTCTCCCAGCATGTTTACCTGCTATAACAAAAGAATCACTGTCTGATGTAAGTCTTTTAAGGAATGACTGTTTTGTCTGTTTAAGTTCATGCCATGGGATCTCAACTTGATCTATGTCTATAGACATTTCCTTTAAGACAAGGACTTGTTGGTGCGCTTCATTTCATAGCTGGGATGTGCGTGGCGTCAATATCAAAAAATGTCTGTCAGACTTTCTCCTTCTGATTTTCTGCTATGGAAGCAACATTCATGGTTCTGTAAATGACAGCCCTCTGTGTCCTAAAACAACAAAGCTGACAACTTGCTTGACTGTTTTTTTTTTTTTTTTTTTTTTTTTTTTTTTTACTAAATTTGGAGCACTTCAAGCCCCCTGGATTCCCCTTTAGAGCTGCCAGACTAGTTAACTGACTTCTTACACATCTGTTATCACCAAAAGTGCATTATTACGGAATAGTTTTAACTACTTGTCCTTTTCATCGCAGGAAACAACCACAACAAAACAACAAAAAAGCACAATGTTTTTGTCTTTGGGTTTTGAGGCTGCGGTTTTGTCCTCATAGCTGAGAATAATGAGAAGTTTGGTCCACTTCCATACAGAATGCAGGTTTTGTAGGAATGTAAGGAAGGAGGAGAAACAGTTTTACAGCGAACTTATATGTTCACAACTATGAACATGTGTCAGTGTCTGTGAAAATAAGACGCTATTTTCAAAGCTGTAGTAATAAACAGTTAATTTTCACTTCTGGTGGTTTATATCTTCTTAAATTGTTCCCATATGTAAAAGAACAACAAAAAAAAAGATGTTTTTTATGAACATCTTTTTTGTTCATGAAAAAGATGTATAACATCTTTAGTATCTGGCACTGTGTTTGTTTTGTAACTTTTTCTCTTAGGTATTTAAAGGTTTGATGAGGTCAGACTTGAGCCACAGATAATCCAGCAGTTAGTGAAGAATGTTTGGGCTTGTTTTGTATTCGCCACCGCTTCGCATCGACTGCAATCCTTTCAGTTTCTAAAATGCACAGCAATGGTAGGGCTCTAAATAAGAGACCTAAGTTATGCTCCTTTTTTTTTATTGGAGGCTAACCAAAAATGTTTTTTGTCATCAGTGAGAGATTACAATATTTCAGCTCCACGTTGCATCCTGACATGGATGATTTGAGGTAACGGAAAGAAACATGAATTCTGAGAAAGAATGACATCGCACCAGCAAGTCCCCCTCTGATTGGAGGGGGGTGGGGGGGGAAATAAAGGTTTGCAAGGGGCCTAGTCAAAGTTCTGAATTAATGTCAATTAATATGCCTTGGTATTACCTTTTTTCACATGAGTGTTAAAGACTGATGGCCTACTGCATTTATGCAGTCATTGCTGCCACCTCCTGCACTTAAAACCATAAGTAATGTCATAGATCAACAGCACCACACTGAAAAAGTTGGGTTATTTGCTACAGGGACAGATTAAGACACTAAAAGTTGTGTTTCCTTTACACATCATCTTTTGAAATGTGCAAAATCTGGAAACCATTCCTGCAATCTATGGTTGAGTTCTCCTTTAGAACGATGACGTCTGATATTTTGGTCATGTGTTTTTAATAATTCCAATCAAAGAAGATGATTGTGGCATTACAGTCACGACAGAAGGTCTCGTCAGTCGAAGCCACAACAAACCGAGGCTATAACTAATGAACAATATGCTTTTTGTTCATGTTGACTGGAATCTGAAGTATTTTGAGCTTGAAACAGCTGAAATCATTCACTGGCTGGGCTTTCTTATTGCAATGTCAGGATGCAAAAACATTTGTTAAAGTTTAATTTGCGATTTAAAAAAAAAAAGTTTGTAAAGCATTGCTTATATTTTAAATGAGGTCAAACTATTATTTGAGGCAATTATGTTTCAGTTATTCTTTGCTAGTATAGTAGCTAGAGCCTGCTCCTGGTAAGATAATACAGAAAAGTCACAGTGCTGACAGTAACTTATTTACTCCATGCCCTTCCATGTGGGAAGGGCATGGAGTAAATAAGTGGAGCATTGTTTCTGTGGAACCAAAGGTCAGGAAGTCAGGCCGCATTGTTCGCACATCTCCGTTGGCCGGAGTCATCTCCGTCTCTCTCTGCTAGCACTGAGAAGCAACCGTCAGACATGACATTCGCAAACAACCAAAGCAGCTGCCCGGAGACCGCCAGATCGGCTGCGTGTTTTTGGAAACACTGGGTCGTGCAGGAAGAGGGTGTATGTCTTTTTCAGCTACAGTTTAATCATGTTTGAATGGAGGGAAGAGCCTGCCTGGATAATCAGTCCGAACAGGGAAACTTCTGATAACCGCAGAAGGAATTCCTTGATTTATTTTTGGTCTTTGAAAGTGAACAGAGATATTTAAAGTTATAACTTGCTTGCTTGCTGTGTTTTTTTTTTTTTTCTACCTTACCATGCTGGTTTATTTGCTAAAATGTTCAAATTTGGAGTCATTTGCCCAGAGTACTGGAGTGCCTTCTTCCCCAGACCTGCTGTGTCCCCTGCATTTAGAGCCAATTTGAAAAAGACATTTTTTATGGTTTTCTTTCAGCAGTGGCTCTTTCTAGTTGCCACTTGTCAATACTGGTTATATTGGGTTAAAAGAGGGGAAAACACAAGTGCATGCCACACTTTCTTATTCCTAAAAATTGTACCCTCTGTACTATCCTTCCACTTTACAATGATGGACTACTATGTGTTGGTTTATCACATAAAATCACAATAAAATCACAATAAAATAGCAAAGAAAGACAAGAATAGTCCTGAATGGTATATGGCTCAGGTCACATTTTTAACAAGTGATGCTGGTTGATGTTGGCATTTTATATTCGTTGAATAAATCTCTATTAAATATAAAATATGTGTTTAGTTATCTTTAAACAGTTAACTTCATTCTAGGTCTTTACCTCTCACAGGACGTAAATGTTTAGCTTTGCAAAGTGGAAACAGGTGGGGAAATCCTTGCTTAGCTCTGCCAAGCATTTTTCTTTTTTTTTCTTTTTTCAAAAAAGTCCCCAATTATTTATTATTTATTATCCACAAAGCAATGCCAAGAATATAAATGAGTAATTGTTTTCTAACCTGCATGGGGATCTGAGAAACATGAAACACAACAGAGCTAGTTTCTATGGCAACCAGTGCAGCTGCCAACTTAGGCATCACAATGTGATGATGATGATTTTTCAGCTTATCCTGTTGCGTTTTTGGTTTCGGCTCACTGGAGAATTTGTTTGTGGACATTTTAAAAAGTTAAATGGTTGAATGCACTGTATTTATCTGCACTGACTGAACTGGGATCAGTTTGGAGTCTATATTTTATGCAAAAATTTGGCACACATTCTTTGAAGGATTTCAGCTGCGCTTTCTTTTTGGGACTTAAGTTTTTTTTCTTTTTTTTTTCTTTTTTAGAAAACATAGGAGATTTGTTGAATTCATAGGTTAGTGAGAATTTCTGCCTATTCATTTTGGAATTTCTAAAGTAAGGCTCTGTTAGATCTTTTAATATCTCACCTCCAAGATAAATCTGTTGGTGAGGAACCGAGACCAAATTGGACTTTTAAAATGTAAAAACAACTCCAACCTAAAAAAAAAAAAATGTCATAGTAGTTTACGTGAGATCCTTTTTTTTTATTAAATCACATTTCATTTTATTTTCACCATAAAACATCGGAACACAATGCACAAAACATTCACAGCAGCGGCAGGAGCATAAATAATCAGGAAAAAAATAAATTATAGCAAATACCGTAACACTGACACTTGCAGCAAAATGTAAAAAAAAAAAAAAAATCATAACATTAACTCAAAGTAAAATTTATTTGTATTTTCAATCTAAACTTTTTTTTGTCCAGGAGTGCATTTTTGAGCAATTTGATAACTGCACCTTATTTTCCAGCCATGTGCCTAAAAGCAGATGGGGTTAGCCAGTCAGAGTTCTTCCTCTGAGTTTGCAACTTCATCTAAAATACCTAAAATACTGTTTTGCTAATGACAGTATTTTAATTAAATGTAATCTTAGTATAACTGTCGTTGCAGGTTCATGGCCGGGTGGTCAGTATTTCTAGCAGGCACCACAAAGGCGATGTCAAACAACCACGCACACACACATTTAGAAAGATCAGTTAACTTAGCAGCCATGTTAGATTTAGATAGAATTGAATTCAACGTTAAACTGTAGTGCAACACTTATTTCTGCTGTTTTGTTTTTTTTGTTGTTTTTACTCTCACTGATAGCCCCTTTATCTGTCTTATCGGTTCTCTGTAAGCTGTCTGTTGTTTTTTGCCACCAATCTGCTGAGTACAGCGAGCGAGATAGAGAAAACCCTGGAATGTGGGGCAGATAGACTCCCTTTGATAATCTGTGTCCGTCATCCCTCTGCGCTAATGAACTTACCC